CTTAAAATGTATAACAGTAAATGATAAAGTAAAGCAAACAATTATCTCTTCTTGTTACGACCTTTGTACTTGGTAGCTGCTTCTCGTAGCTTGCTAAGCCTTAAGAAATTTCACATGTGAAGGATGTGAAATGAAGTAATTTTTTTAGGTTTTATATATACATTTCAATAATCAAACAATCATAAATTACTCTATCACTACCACAGAATTCCATTACAAATTATCAAGTTTAGTAGCTAAGCTGTATTTGGGTGAAAAAAAAAAAGAAATTTCAAGCAGACTAAAGACACAACCTACCTCCTTGAAATCTTGGTTTGAAAGAACAAGGTGGCATCCTAACACATGAAAATGGCTGAGGAAGCCACTAGGGGGACATTTTTGTCATATACACAAGTAAGTGTATATAAGGAACCGTTTCCAAAAATGGAAAGGGGTGAGTGGGGCCACTGTGTTTGATTCAGTACATGAGCAATATCTCAGCAAATAGAAAAGATATGAGGTTTTTATTTTATTTTCTAACTTGTTAATACTGGTAATTTGAGTTCCTAATTCATATAAAACTATAAATTTTGTATTGTGACATCACAAACATCTAATTTGAACTAGTGCTGCATTCAACATACCACATGACACACAAAAATTGATATTTAAGTGTTTTTTTAATATTTACATTTAAAGTACGAAATTGAATAATGTATAATACTAAAATATGGATTATAATCTACAATTTAACACCAAAGTTATTTACATAAATTCATAAAATAGTAGTTCAATAAAATTTTGAATGCAAGTCAACAAACATGATGACATGGCCTTTGACCCGTGACCTGTAGTGATAGGCTTAAATTGATATATTAACAAGAAGATTATTAACGCTTATAAACTGCCTTAGCTTAAATAGTAATATATCATTATATAAAATGTATATTTTTTACCTCATGTTCAAAAAACTTGTCTTCTAAAGTTTTCTCTCCTGGATTGTTACCTGATCCTTCAAATAGTGCTCGATATTCCTAAAACATAGAATAAAGAAAATTTACTCCATATTTAATTTTTTTCTTCTAAAAACAGGATGTTTCAACATTCATTCCTTTGAAAGAAAAAATGCATAAAAAATAAGTATAATAAACCATGTTACTAAACACATACTAAGGTAAATTCGTCTTTTTTGTTACAAGAGAACAATATTTTTGACAATTTAAAATAAAAAATTATTTTATTACACTAAACAACATTTTTGGTAAATGTTCTTTGTCAAGTGTATATGTCTGTTACTCCTCTATAATGTTTTACTGGTTGAAAACGAGATATATTTCCAGTGTGATCCCAAGAACATGATCATTACATTAAACTTACTCAGCCCCTATGCCAAAAAAGTGTCTTGATATGGTACTGGGTAAACCAATTAGGTTCTATAGAAGCAAATTACTTGTGACTTTTGACCATATTTTGGGGGACAAAGAAATGAGTTATTTCAAACATTTTGTACAACATACAGCTACCTATGCAAAAAGAAAGTGAACTTTCTGTGTTTTCTCAGTCTTTACTGAATGGGCTTCTAAGACACACAATTACATGCAAGTGCTATAACCCAAATAACTAATACACTGACAAGCATATCCAAAAACTTTAAAAAATATTTAAACGTACAAAAGAAATTGCTTTAAGTCAAATGTTTTCTAACTTTAAGTAAATATTTCAGTAAATTAACAACAATCCATCAAGTTCACTTGTTCATCTTGCTCGCAAACACAAAATAAGCATAAGGTAATTATTTCTCTACTTCATTTACCTCAAAAAGATAAACATCTGGAAACCCTGTCTAAATAACTACTAAACTAAAATTTACTGAGTTTTCAAGGTTAACCAATATCAGTTAACAGTAGAGATGTTTTTCTTAAGATCTTATCAAGGCTAGATTGGACTGAAAAGCTGGTCAATATAACTGAATATTAAAGTACAAACTTGAAATAACCTTTTTATTTTTATTCAGTTAAGAAGAAAAATTCTGACAATTGCATTTACTAAAATGGGTAAAGTTAAATGACTGAAAAATTAGAATTTCTTTAACTGTATTGAAAAAACATAATGAAAAAACTCAAAAAGTTAAACAATGACTAAGCCAAACATCTCATTAGGAAGTGAAAAACACTAGATCACCATGAGCTGACAACTGTCATATTAAGGCCATGAATAGATCTTTTCATACCTATGATTTTTATTGCATTTATTACTTGTATATAATTATGGTCTAATAAATAGAGGTTTAATAATAATTATTATTTTCTGGTGATTTTTAATTAAGAGAGAATGATACAGTTAAGCATTCGACATAGTCTTTTATTTCAAAATTGAATTGTAATGTAAAATTAAAAAGAAATGCTAGTAGAAAGGCCAATCTCAATATTTAAAAATTACTAAAATTTTATATAAGTATAACCACACAGTTAAATTTTTGTGCAAAAAATACTGCTTTAAAATTTGGTCTTCTATGATATACTAATAATTAACATATGGGATAAATTAACTGTAATTCTCATTACAATATAATAAGTTCAACCAAAGAGAAAACTATTATCTATATTAATGAAAAATTATACAAAATAATTTTCTTTTAAACTACAAAACAGAGGTACTGTTGAATATACAGCATGCCCAAAAGTAGGTATACAGCTGCACATGTTGAATATAATGAAGTGTGTACAGTAGGAAATTGCAGAATGTTGATGAAATGAAAGAGTACATCACAGATGCATTTACAGAACTTGATGAACAGACAGACTTGTGCCAGAAAGTTTGCAGAAGTGTGACAGGCAGTTTCCAGGATTGTGTGAACAGCGATGGGTCTCACTTTGAACATCTGTGGGATTAACTTCCCCATAATTCCATGTCATGTGTAAAGTTCCATTAAATATATTGTTAATTATCAACTTTATACATACTTTTGGGCCACCATGAAAAATCAGATAACCAAAGGATCAACCTGAACTTAAAAAATATCTACTAACAGCATAATGCTCTGCAATAATTTTAACTTGTTCATAGTCATCAGCCTTGGCCAAAGCAGCCAAACCATCTGGATAAAGCTTTCCACAACGAGGGTAGAGCTTTGAACGATCTTCTTTAGTTAGCTCTGTGCCAAATGAATTGATGGTGATGATGAATGCTCGACGATCAGCCTCAAACTAAGAATAAGATTAAAAAGAAAAAATTATACTGAAAATACTCATGAGTATATAATATGATTTACTTATACGATACGATAGATCATAAAATAAATATTTCACCACCAGTTTTTAACTAGATATGCAAAATGGACTTCTTTAGCAGATGAGTGCTAAAAGATGAGTGAAATGAATAAATATCACAGATTTAATATTTATTACTGTGTTAAGAAAAGGAAATATGGGATCTCATAACTCATGATATAGTCAGCTGGGAGAAATGCAGTCCTAAAATCCTACTGAAATCAGACAACATGTCCAACACAATTGTGAACTCAAATAGCAAGAACTATATTGGATAAGTGGAACCAGACAGGAGATCTGAACAAGATATGGTATTACAGAAAAATGATAAACTATTAAAGGCTGAGTTTAAACTAAGGAATGAATATTCTAAACAATATGTAATGCACACTATACAATGAGAATAATCTATTTATTGGCAAAGACAAAAACAATGTATGTACTTGCTTATTTTACATTTGACAGTCCCTTCCTTCAGATGTTTTTAAAACAGGATCATCCACACCGCCTAAGTGCAAGTTTTGTAGCTAAAAATAAATCTCATATCTACCAAGTGTAACATGCACTACCGCATGACTGGTCTTTCTCATTACACAGGTGAAGCCATAACTTCAATGTATTACCTGTACAACCATTGAAGGACAGTGTTATCAACTTCTTGATACAAGGTTACTGTAAGCAATGTTTTCCATGGGTGGTAACAGGTTTTTACCAACTTCAAAAAATGATGAAGGAACAAAGGTAACTTGAAAAAATCATCTTAATAGTTTCCTTGACAATGTATTAATTAAAGTCTGCACATATTCAGAATAAAGAATAATACTACCAAAAAAAAGAAATTCTGATATGATCATGTCTTCTTTGGGCCAATGTTATCTCTTGGGAAGATATTGCTTAATACAAATTAAGTGATACAAGACCCTGGAATTCCCCCAAGGGGTCATTCTATATAAACTCAGCTAGCCAAAACACTGACTTTCTCTCATGTTGATAAAACTTGAAATACAAGTAGCCATGTGTGATAAACAAATCTTTCAAATATTAGCACTGCCTGACCTTTGGTTGGAAAGATGCTTACACGTATTCGTTAGTTTAATTAACCATTTTGTTAAAATCAATATAACTACAAATTTAAACTCATTGTACAGCAAGAGTTGAAATAATTTCCTTAATTTTGTCCTAAAATAATGCCAGAACTTACAAATTCAACCTGAACAATTGTAATTCATAATAACAATAATGATATTAATAACTAACAATGAATGCTCAGTCAGCCATTTGGACTGATCATAGTACTATTAATTATCCATATCTTTATTATAATTCATTGTCTACTCATCAACTCTTCAATACATGTTCTACTTAATTTAGACTATCCTTGCAAAAAAATAGAAATTGAAGATACTTCCTTTTTTATTCAAGATCAAAGTCAACTATTTTATTTGTAATGTTATAATTTTTTTATAAAGAATGAAAGATATGCCTGTTTTAGGGCTTCAAAATTAGACCATAACTATTATTCTAGCTTTATTGGTTATGAAGATACAACATTCTGAAAACTGGTTTAAATTGTCAAAAAGGATCAAGAGGTCAATATTTGCTGACCTTATATCTTGCCAACCAAAGGTCATATAATGGTAATATTTGGAGGATTTCAGTTTATTATGCATGACTACTTTTATACTAAGTTTTGTCAAAATTGGAGACAGTGAGTGCAAAAATGTCCTTTATGTGCTAAGTTAATATGGTATGACCCTAAGATCAAAGATCAGAACTCTGTAAATTAGTTATATGCATTCTGAAATATATATAAATTAATATAAAATAATACCTGAAATAATTATTGTATAGCATGTGTGGAAGAGACCGCATGCTCATCTATTCTAACACATACTAACAAACCATTAACAGATAGTTGTAAATTCAAATTTTATAACTATCATATGAAACAAATCAATGCTATAAAAATAATACAATTATTAAACAAGGAAGTATTTAAAAATTACAAAATTGTAGTTTTTTAAAAATACACTTCACTTGACCAAGTTTTTATATCAGCATATCTTAAAATATTTTAATCCAAAATTTGTTTTCACTTAAGACAAGTAATACTTGACTAATGTAGTATACCAAGTATCATAAACATGAACATAGTATTAAATTTGTTTTTTAATAATAGTTGAAATTTCCTAAGAGATCAATCTTCAGCCAGTCAGTGTCCAATGTAAAGTTGTTACTCTTCAAGACTGCAATCCTTAGCTGATCATGGAATAAAGTTTGCTACCTAATTAGGGTGTGGATATAATTATATTCAAAGCTTAATTAAACTACTTTATTCTCAATGTATTTCAATAAACTTGGTATCAAAACATCTTTATAATTCAAATTTTAATATCATGTAACTTTTCATTTCAAAAGAAAATATCTAAATAAATTCTCAATCTTTACGCGACACTTTCTTGCTCTGAATAATTCATTTTAGGTTTCTTTCCACGGCTATATATAATCTAAGTTTCCAAGAAATTACACACTTATACACTAGATAATTTTGAGCTCAAATGTAAATCTATAGCCTCCAAACTTCATCCTTTACTGAGATACATGCAATAAAATGAAAACTGTACATTACACCCCTCCTAGCACATTCTCTCTATAAAAAATAATTATAAAACAAAATTTCAATAATTCTTTGTAACATTTGCTACTGGATTATTTCTAACCAACAGAAAGAAAATATTCTACTTTACTAAATCATATGAGGCTAGGAGCATTCATATAACAGGTTTTGAAAATTTTCTTGTTAGTTTCCTTTTCTGTTCATGTTGAAGCTCAGCTCAATCAGTCATCAAAATTATTTCAATATATTTATAGCTCAGTTAGAGAGCCAATTAAATTATAGAAGTTTTAGGACATCTACTTTTTGTGCATGGAAATATATTTATTATAAATGAAATATTTGAATATCTAAAGGGTTCAAGTTCAACTGTAAAGAAATAAATTGATATGAAATATATTAGCTTTAGCTGTAAGAATAAATAGCATGTAACTGTCTGTTTAGGAATTCATCTATTTAACCTGAAATGTTCAAAACATTGGTACTTGTGCAATACGTAGGTCAAAAATGTAAATTATTGAATGAAGTTGAAAAAAAAACTACATACATATATATAAGTAACCATTTTTCTTACTTACAGCTAAAATGTCACACATGACATCTGCTGTTGTTCCTCCTGTCTTCTCACAGAATTTGTAGAAGTCCTCCAAATAAGCCTGTAATACAGAAAGTAACTTAACAAAGAACAACACAAAAGTACTAAATCAATGCAAATTTCTTTACTCAACACAGACTTCCCATAATATTGCAGTTCAGTTTTAAACTATATTTTATTGTAGAGATTAAAAACTTGCATAAAAACAACCTAACTTAAAGAACAACACAAAACTACTATATCAATGCAAACTTCTTTACTCAACACAGACTTCCCATAATATTGCAGTTCAGTTTTAAACTAGATTTTATTGTAGAAATTAAAAACTTGCATAAAAACAACCTAACTTAAAGAACAACACAAAACTATTATATCAATGCAAATTTCTTTACTCGACACAGACTTCCCATAATATTGCAGTTCAGTTTTAAACTATATTTTATTGTAGAGATTAAAAACTTGCATAAAAACAACCTAACAATATTTTTTGTAAACAAAGTATGTACTTTTATTTAAATTGTTAAAACAACTAATTCTAGGAGAAAACAAATTATCCAGATACATGTGCCTATCATGTATGTATGTCTTGCAAAATACTAAGAATAATACAATAGTGATTAATACTGTTCCAGACAAGAAAACACTAATATTTTGAGGTCAAACATACCTTGTATAGTGTGTTTCTGATAATTTCAATGTTCAATTCATCCAGATCTTGCTCAGAAATACAATCCACAAAAAATGGAGCTAAATATTAAGTAAATTGTTTCACAGTGAAAAAATAAAACAAGCAACTATTAATTTGTTGTTACATAACCCTTTTGTATGCAAAAATGAGTGCTGATTTTAAAGTATAGTGCTATTATTTTTAAAACTGTAACTAGTTTCAATATTAATTCTGGATCATAACACAGATAAATAGTTAGTTTTATATATTTCTTAATATCTTTAATTAATCAATCAATCACTACACACAAAAATTACTATACAAATTAACAGTATACCAAGTAAATGCTTAACTTACAATGCCCCATACAAAGATGAAGCATTATGCAATGAACATGGAAATGCTGTACCATGTATAATGAAAATGCTGTACCACGTACAGAAGGTACAAGGAGCTCTAATATAAACAATCAAAATAGGTTAGGAGCTAGCTCTTGTAACAAAATCTCACAGTACAAAATAATGCATGCTTGGTTAAAGGTAAAAGAAACAGACCATAATGAAAACTCACATCAAGTAATGAAAATGGATAGCCAAATAGTTAATGACATTTATTGTAATATTCACTATAAGACTTCACTTAAAGTATTGGGAAGAAACTATAATACCAAGAAAACTTTGTATCCTACTTTATGTTTTACCGTTACTGACATATTTCCAAGACTCTAGATCCTTATCCAACCATGAATGATGAATCTTGTGCCAATTATAATTTATCTATGCATAATCAAAACCTGAGACAAAAATAGATGTGAACTGTAATTCTTAAGAAACTTAAAAACTTTTAAATGGGGTGGAATCTATAGGGTGCAATAGGTGTCAGAGCTGGGTTATATTTGAGAATTGTGGATTTGACTGCAACTTATGAATACACAGAAAAGTACAGTACACTTGCAAAGCATGCTTTATTTGAAACAGTTTGAGGAAGACTGCACTGTTAGTGGGAAAAAAATTAAATATATTACAAGTAAAAATCAAGAAAGCTGGACAGGAAAGACATCTATATAATAGGATCCATCACTCCTGAGGTTTACTCAAAGGTAAAAGTTTTCACCCCACCCCTTGGGGAACCCTGGAGGTTTCCCAGAATTGTCCTAGTCCAGGGGTTTGCACAATGGTAAAACTTTTTACCCAACCCCTCAGAGGACCCATGTTTTTTGCAAAAACACTTTTATGGGGATTCGCCAAAAGCAGACCCCAAATTTGCCATTGATTTACATTACAGCACATAAATAAGTATGCCTACAAATTACTGTTCATAACTTGGATAAGGAAATTAAACTTGCATTATAGCAGCAATGATCATTAAACTGAAAAAGTGCAAAATAGTAGTTCAAGCATTA